AGCGTCCTTGCTCCTAGTAGCGATGCCCTTTGTTCCTAGTAGCTTTTTGCTCCTAGTAGTAAGGCCAGGAGCCCCTAGTAGCGTCCTTGCTCCTAGTAGCGATGCCCTTTCTTCCTAGTAGCTTCTTGCTCCTAGTAGTAAGGCCAGGAGCCCCTAGTAGCGTCGATGCCCTTCGTTCCTAGTAGCTTCTTGCTCCTAGTAGTAAGGCCAAGAGCCCCTAGTAGCGTCCTTGCTCCTAGTAGCGATGCCCTTTGTTCCTAGTAGCTTCTTGCTCCTAGTAGTAAGGCCAGGAGCCCCTAGTAGCGTCCTTGCTCCTAGTAGCGATGCCCTTGCTCCTAGTAGCGATGCCCTTTGTTCCTAGGTAGCTTCTTGCTCCTAGTAGTAAGGCCAGGAGCCCCTAGTAGCGTCCTTGCTCCTAGTAGCGATGCCCTTTGTTCCTAGTATCTTCTTTCTCCTAGTTAAGGCCAGGAGCCCCTAGTAGCGTCCTTGCTCCTAGTAGCGATGCCCTTTGTTCCTAGTAGTGTTCTTGTTCTTAGTAGTAAGGCCAGGAGCCCCTAGTAGCGTCCTTGCTCCTAGTAGCGATGCCCTTTGTTCCTAGTAGCTTCTTGCTCCTAGTAGTAAGGACAGGCTTGCTCCTAGTAGGGATGCCCTTTGTTCCTAGTAGCTTCTTGCTCCTAGTAGTAAGGCCAGGAGCCCCTAGTAGCGTCCGATCGCTCCTAATTCAGGGCCTAGTTTTCCTTTCCATGAAAAGCAACTGCCCAACAGCCGAGCGTCAAAGTATTGTGCATCCGCAAACCATGCGCAACACGACCAGCTGCACGGTTCCTTAAAGCAGCTGACAACTGGAATCCCAAGTTATGCTGCTGTGGATTGGGTTCAATCATGTCCTGCCTGAGAATGCCTGAGGCTCTTGTGTTTATGACAAGGGCTTGGCTGCTACATTGTTGGCCATTCCATCACCAATCAGTGAATCTTCCGCTGGTTGAAAGATCGTTGTCTCAGCTTGTCACAGCATCATTGGAAGGCGGATACTGCCATCATGGATCTCGGGGGGGAAGGTAGAATACTGAAAGCCTCTGAAATGACATCCGAATCCTTTTAATGAAAACACATCGTCAAGAAGGAACACTTTGAACCTTACAGCTTCAAGAGCGCACACAACTTTGAAGAATTGGAGGTCATAGGCCTCCGGACCGAGAATACAGTCACCTGATTCCACGAACCCAACGGGTTGGGTCATGGTGTGCCTGCTTCCGCTCGCACCACACCAAGCCAAAACGGAAGCCAAGCCAACTATGATGCGAATCCTTGAAACAGCTTCCAAAAGCGGCTTGTAGGGTAAACTATGAAACTTGGGGAAGACAAAACGTTATGTTTTGCAGGGCAAGCTGGGTTTCAGACTGGCGCAACTCCCAAAATCAACGGTGGTTGGAGTAAGGCCCCTCAATATGGGCATCGTGCAACGATCCAATTGAGGACCAGAACAGTCCATGCCGCGTTCTCTCATGTCAACATTGTTCCCTAGCTATTCCAAACAATTCCCAACGCATCAAAAAAAACACTTCTGCAAAGGGCAAGTGTCACATCTGGGTCCAGATTGATATAGCAGCAGTTTTCATCCGTCTCTCTCTCCCGTTCAGGCTTCCGCTCCTGAACCGAATCGGCTGGTCGCGGCGGACCACTCAGATCTGACCCCAAAGCAGCCGCGCCCAGCAGTGCCGTTCCCCATGGTCCATCAAATAGCATGGCTCAAGGGGTCCATCGTGGTCCAAACCACTGTGAAGGGCTGAAGGACCTGAAGGAAATGGTGGCCGTGCGGCCCCATGTCAGGAAAAAAACATCCGTGGTTCTACAAGTTGTATCAGCTATATCTTATTGGTTATAATTATATCATAGTGCTTTGTCATCGGTCTCGCCTGGTTTGCTTCGTCCATCGCGCTGATTCCAACTCCGATTCCAAGTGACCCGGGCCCTTGTGACAGACACAAAGACAAAGAAATTCACTCGAAAGGACAAAGGAAGAAAAGAGATGCCAACAAAAACAGGCCACTGGCCACTCCTGGCCACTCCTCCCTGACAGGAAAAGAGATGCCCTAGCTCAGGTGTCATAGTTCCCAAGTCCTCACTGTCGAGTTCAGCCCGCTTTTGTGGTTTAGCCCTGCAACTACCCGCGCTCCTGAACTCGATACGGCACTGCTCGTCTCTCGGTCGTCCGACTGGTCATTGGACCTTGGCTGAAGATCGTCGCTCCCTATCTATGCAGATCTATGCAGCAAATCTATGGAAGTGGACAGTACACAGTGGGACAACATCGTCCATACATATTTGTGTATATATATATATGGTGCTCTATTTATAATATAATTTTATATGTTTCACTGCCATCATGGTTGATGGGATGGTTGGAGGAACGGTAAAGAACAACTTCTGGGATAGCCAGTTTCTTGTGGCGATATTTCGTTGGCGAATCAAAAGAACCCCCACAGGTTACTGATCAGGAACTGCCAAACAAGAACTTAACATAGCTTGACTATTCAATGGAAACTTATTGATGAATCTTACTCGAAGCCAAGGCCACCGGGCGGTCCGAGGGTTCATGGAGCGTAGAAAATCAGGACGTGTCTCCTCATGACCCCGGTCAGTCCATGGCTCTTCAGGGGTCACCCGGCTTGAACGATTTAAAGGCCACACACCACCAGGTGGCACGGATCGTATCCAACAACCCAACCACCTGCAGCAAGCTGACTCGGTTGGAGGCCATCGCTACTAGGGTGGAGGCCATCGGCATGACTAGGTGCACCCCGACTCACCAGCATCCCAAGCCAACCATCTGACCAGCCAACCATTCGACCCAGTCGCGGTAGGTAGAGCCTCTCCCAGAGTCCATCAATTCGTCCAAGGTGAGGCCCTGAGGATCCACAGAAGGCGGCCCAGTGTGGTTGGATGAAGCGAGAAGCACATGATTTTCCGACAACCAACTGCTGGTGCAAACTGCTGGCTTTTGGGCATGGTTTTGCTGTGCTGTCGTCATGTGCTTTGGTGCAAACTGCTGTTTTTGTTTCCTCATTTTGCAGGCTCTTCAGCGGAATGTAGCCATCCTAGAGTAGATAGAAAGCATACATAAACCATTGGACTCAGAAGTGGGTTGACATTACCTGGAAAAAGTGTGGTGAGTGGCTCCAAATCTGTGGGGACATCTTTGAATTTGGTGCCACCATGTGCTTTCTTGCTCTCGTCCCTTCGGAATAGGCGTGGCAACATGATGCGCCATGTGCCACCTAACTCTGACATCATATGTCATGTGCTCTTTAAAATAACAACTAAACAAATAACAGCACCAGTACAATGGTACAATGTTGTCTTTAACAAACAGCTCTGGAACCTGGCGAGACCTCGCAGAATCGCGAGAAAAACCGCAGAATCGAGACTGAGGCCCCCCAGCCAGTCTGTCCTGCGTTCCTCTCCGTGCCATGGCGAAAGTCACGCCGGTGGTACTCGTCCCTGTGAATTTGCTGGAGCATTGAGATGCGCTGAGTCATTGTGTTCATGTCAACACACTTTGCAATATGCAAACTCAGTTGTTGGCAACTTCACCCGGCCACTCGAACTCTGCAACGACAAAGACTTATATTATAGAATATGCGTCTAGACTAACCAGACTCGATCCTCATGAAGACTCGACCAGCCAGTCTTGATGTTGCTTGCAAAAATCAACCCTATCGGCCCGCACGGACCGCAAAGAGGACACTGCACAGCCAATGCGACGGAAAATCACGGGAATTCCGGTCCCACGCCGACGCCTTTTAAGGGACTGTTACAACGGTCCTAACGGACTATAACTATGTTATATAAAGTATATCAAGTCATTTGGGTGGTGAAATCTTCATTATTATTCATTATTATGTAACTACTATCTGAAATCATCTGAAATCTACCCGCTGGGGACTGCATCACCCAGCCACCCCCCGCGTATCTTCCGCCGTTCGCAAAACCTGTCCCAATCAGCTGGAAGCTCCAAGAGCTGCCGAAGCTTCTCTTCTGCCGTCACCACCAAGTCCTCGACGAGGAGCTGCGCGCTATGGTGGACGGGTGTTGTATTCCAAAATAACATCCGCTACAACAGTACCAAACTAAACGCATCAACATGGCATGTTGATACCTCACCACCAAGTAAGGCACAACAGAATTGGATTCAAGATGATTCAAGTATCACAGGTACCAATGCTCTGATTCTCTCTCAAGTGTCACACTGCTCTGTAGGTATTGCTTCCACACTTCTCTGAGTCTTGGAAGACCTTAAACCGTTTGAGACATCCGTTTCTCCCGCCCACCAGAAGCCCGGCTGCCGCACACACCGACCTCGCGCGGATCTCCCGGCTGCCTGGCTACTTGGATGCGCGATGCAAATGGCCTGCGTCGTCACATCCCAACGGATCGTCGTCACATCCGACGCGTCTGGCCGAGCTGAGCATCGTCGTGGCATTGCGATCACAGGGACCTCCAACGGATCAACTTGTCCAAAAGCCATTCAGTTCAAAAGAAGAAGGGCAAAATCAGGGTTGTAAAGACCTGCTTGCTTTTTGGGGGCTCTGACATTGACTCACCAATCTGTCTGGAAAAAGTAAACGGAGATAATATGCAATTGAGATTCAAACAACCAAATGGGTCGGGAGTGACTCGCACACCCGGAGTTTCAGTTCGCCTCTCGGAAAAGGGGTAGTCTATGGTAGTCTCGTTTGGTCTTCAGGTCATGTCCCATGTTCTTTTTGGTACGAACGAAGTCGGATCCAGGTACAGTAAGTGTGTACACTGCTCGGCCTCTTCAATTCGTCCACAAGGCTTCCCTTCCTGCGAAGAAGGGATTTCGTGGGCGGCACGTGAGCTGTCTTGGTTATTTTGGCATGTTCTTATGAATCTTATGACACAAAAGGTGGACGGACAGCAGGCGGACATCAATCCTTCCGACTGAAGGCCGCCACCACGGTGCCCGGGGGCGCAGCAAAGGCAAAGGCCATGCCCCGAGGCGCCTGCAACGAGGAGCTGATGGGCTGAAACCGAATCTGGAATGCCGGAGTCTGTGAGCTGGTACCCATGTTGCAAACAGAACAAATGGGGACGATGACACTGAAGGCCTACATTGACCACCCCAACCACCCCAACTGATGGGCATCTTTTGGCATACATCGAGTGCCTGGGATATTTCAAATGCCACACCGGTAAACATACCAATAAAAAAAGGGAGAACGCCGGACACTAACTCCCTCAACCTTGGGCTGTGGTCGAGTCGATCTACCTAGGGTCGTGGTATGTCGTGAGTCCGGGTCCGGTCTGCACTGTCTGCACTCACCCAAACATCCAAAAACACTAACGCATACTAACACCCAAACACTCCAAGGTGACAGGGATACAAGTGAACTCCTCCATGAAACAGTATGAAGCCACCCTAAGTGATCGATCACGCCTGTTGGCGGTGTCTGGGTACCGTGTAGGAGCCTGGGTGGACACTTTGCAGCCGTCTCCTCGCGCCTGGCATCCGTAGTCCATGGAGATGCGGCCCTTGCTGCTATGGAAGCGAACACTTTGCAGCGAACCATGCGACGTATCGATGTAGCCGGTGATCTTGGTGATGAACCTTCGAAGGTGAGTGGAGGGGGTGGGGGGTGAGAAGGAAAGAACAGGGTGAGGCGCTGAAAACATGTTCACTTGGCTTCATGATCCATGAGTCCATCACGTTCACAAGCTCACCGTTTCTTTCTGCCCTATATACCGCTTTTGGTCGAATGACCAGTCGTTTGTCGGCTCTCTCCCTCTCTCTCTCTCTCTTTCTCGCTCTTGCCAGTCTTCAGCATCGGTAGACCCAACATGATGAAACAGTTGCTCTGAAAAGGCTGCCAAACCCATGAACTCTGATGAACCCAGCAAATTCTGGTAGACTTTGGGTTGCTGTTTTTGTGTGTAATTGGGAACTACTGAGCTGAGTATCTAGATCTGATACGATCTGATTAGGTGCGCCATATATAGTGGTGTCGTTTTTGTCGCGGAGCGTGACCAAGCGACATATCCAAGCGATGCAAAGCAAATGATTCATTCGCTAAATGAGTGATACACAAAATACTGATTGATTTAGATTTCTCCCTCTATAGACATACCGTAAACCCCACAGAAACTTTGTTCACCAGGGGGGAAAATCTTGGAGTTGACAAACATTTTGTTGACGCCTGTTCAATGAGGCTCTTCGCTACGCGACACCAATTCTTTCACGATCGGTGTCTACTTCGGTCTCGACCTCCACAGCTGTTTCTTCACCAAGCTCCCCCACTCTCCGTCCATCAAGGAAAAGGGCGGCGAGGGCTTCGCCACCGACCGACCCAGCGGATTGCCATCCAAACCTCAGACGTGTGAGTGACTGTGGGCTAAGGGACATGCTTCTGCTGGGGGTGACCTGTTCGCTTCTAGCAGCACAGTCCATGTGCTGGTGGGGTGCCATGTGTTGCCATTGTCCAGGTTAATGTGTATGACAGAGTTCACCAACCAGAAAGAGTCATGAATCCTCAAAGGTGCCACACATTCTGCCGCATGGTTTTTGGATGTGTTTGGCATTCCTGGATCAAAGAAACTCCCCCGAGCATGCCTGAATCTGTGATGTTGTTTGCCAAACCTGGACACATCTTTGGGGCGCCACCATCCAAATGGAGCACAACTGAAACACGTGCAGGACCATGGACCATGGACCATCCTGTGTCTTTGCCCGGCGCCACCATCTGAGGCTGCGAGAGGTGAAATCTGGCTACAAACTCTCACCACTTGAGGCCACAAACATTGGCCACAGCCGGATCCCAGGGATCCCCTATACCTTCTCACAAGGGCGAAAGCCTCCACAAGGCGAAGAACAGCCATCGTGTCGACTGAAGTGTTTTCAAGTGTCTTGAATCAACCTATCTTAAGATATCTTAAGGGTATATGGATCCATAGCGTGGTCCACCCATGGGGCACCAGGTTTGCTGTTTTTCATGTTCGCCTTCAAACTTGACGTGCCGATGGCGGCATAGATGGCTTGACGTGCCATTCAGTGAGTCCTTCACATCGACGGACCATGGTCCATCGATGCGAAGAAGAACGGGGTGTCCATGTGAAATCATCCAATCCTCCGGGATCCTGTTGCTGAAAGACCCTAACCACTGATTGTGTTTTTTTTTCCACCTCCAATCGAAAGGACCAGAAAGCGATTCTCAGTGGAATGTGCGTAGCTTGTGCCTGTCAGGTAACAAAATATGTATAACGCACTGAACCCAGGGGAGCTCACATTTCTATTGCAATCTATTGCACAATGCAGTGCCAGAACCTTTGTTCAAGTTTCAGGAGTTTGTCGATTCACCGCATGTCAAATGCGATCCATTAATTAGTCACCCCGTGCATCCGAGAAATATAATTTGACCATCCCTGACATGCACCAAATCTACATCATGGTTTGATGTTAAGTCACAAACTAGAATGGTTGTACAAACCATGTCATTCCGTCTCGTATTGTAACACATGCCAGATATTATATATTATAGTAGTCCAAGTGTGAGTCGGTGGTTCAGGAGTTATAGGCAAGTGCATCGCTATTAGTAGTTCCTGGCATTGCTACTAGTAGCAAGAAGCTCCTACTAGTAACAAGTTCATCGCTACTAGTAGCTAGAAGCTACTAGTAGCAGGGGCATCCATAATTTAGATATTATTTAACAAGATGTAACAAGTGCATCGCCACTTGTTGAATTCGACCTTTGCTTTCATCTCAACCCTGATCGAATCCCCCCCGACCAAGCCGGCGCAAGTGAAAACCGGTCTGCCTGTGAGATAGGATCCATCTGGATAGCGGAAGATGATCGTCTCCACCACTTGCTCAGTAGCAAAGACCTGGTCAACGCTGGACCACTCTAAAGCTGAGTTTTCTTTTGCAAAGTCCTTTTTTTTGTCAGTTCTTGAAAGTGACCGCCACCTCTCACCAAAGTGACAACAATGACTCAATGACATTCCCAATGAATGAGTCTTTTTTCTCCTCCCATCTCGATGGGAAGATCGACATCACACCTCTTGAAAAAGCGAGCAGCCCAAAGTCTTTGTGCGCTTGCGCAAGCGAGCGAGCCTTTCAAGGGATCCACGTATTTGCTCAGAAGCTAGTGGGACACACCAACCCATCAGAAATTCCCCTCAAAAGGTATGTGGATGCCACCTCCCCGTTGAACGTGCATCGAGGCACAGCGATGACAACCACAACACAAAAATCGATTTGTGCTGATGGTCTTCATCGCTTTTGTGCGCCAGGCCCCTCGTTTTCGTGCTTTTTGCTCCATCTGGGGATAGTTCAAAGTTCCACTTTGCTGATCCCCAGTCTCGGGAAAGGCAAACCAAGCCCAGATCCATTGCTGCGCGGAACGGGCAAACCCCCACTGGAGGCCATCGCTAGTAGGTTGGAGGCCATGGTCGCTTCAAAGCGCTCCGTGTGGCGCCGAAATTCGCTCCTCGTCGATGAAAGCGGCCAAATCGACTCGATATGACGAGTCGAATGAACCAGAAGAAACCGGGAGACCCCGGCTCTCCATGGAACCAAAGAACCATGATGAACCATTGATAAAACCTTTTTTCTCAGAAATCAATTTGCAAAGCCCCCAAAAGGCTCCCTGAAAGGATCCCTGACTCATCCGGCTGAAAGAAAAAAACACATAAACATGGGGGCTCCCATCAGCAGGGACCACGTTACGTGTGTTACGTGTCACCCTGGGAAAAAAAAAGCTATTCCGGTGTCAGGATGTATACCGGACCCAACATTTATATACATATATTATTCCAGGGTAGTGGAGCAAAGTCCAAATAACTTCAGTTATAATATATAGAGTGCCACTTCGATGTTGGAAGTGGTGGTTGGAAGTTGGTGGAAGTGTCTGTTGGAAGCTGTTGGAAAGATATTTCATGGTTGCTGGCACTGCTGGCACATCTCTGACAACATATAGTCATAAATATTCCACGGCTGCTGCCACATCTCTTTATCTAATAATTATTCATTATATATATTCATTGGTCGCGAGGTTCGTGGTAGCTATTATTCCTAGGTGGCCCCTACTCCCCTGGCACAGCGACCCCAAGAAAATGATGTATACCTAATGAGCATACAAGTATTTCTGGCTGTTACATGAACCCTTGACATTGAATCATGAGATATCATAAGTATTCATAAGTTAAGGCAGCTCCCATACATCAACCACCCGCCACAACCCACTCCGAACCGTCCGAACCCTCGCCTCCACGGAGTGCGGTGGCCGTCGGAAGTCCCTCAACTCGCCAGAGTCCAAGGGCACCTGATCGGCGAAGCAAAGAGCAGCGAAGGACCTGGACCTTCGTGTGTGTGAATAGCTGACGGTGAATACTTGCCTTTGCTTTTGCTTTAATCATGCATATTACACAAATACCAAATCTGACACATTGCTTGTGACCTGGCAGCAAGGCACGCCAGGTTGAACTATTTGGAGGGGATGTTGAGATGTTTGAACCCTCACCCCTCAAGTCAGTAGTCAAGATAATATATATTATATATTAGATACAATATGTCTATGATCCTAAACTTTGTGAGACGCCTGCGCGGCCAGCAATGCATTCTTCCCAACTCAGCAATCGATGCCCGCTTGCCTGCTTGCCATCCGCTTCGATGCGAAGTCCGATCTGCGCAGCTGGTACATGCTCTGCCCGCAATTGCTGGATCTGGCGCCAAGGAGAAAGCAAGTGAGAACACTGTGAACCACGTCCTGGAGCGAGGTATAAAGACCTGACCCTACTTGAATTGCTACTTGGTTTCTCTGGACGACATTCTACGCAAACTGAAGACCTAAACATCAACATCATCAACTCCAGATCGCTGTGTAGCTTCGCTTTGTCTGCACTCAGGACCTCGAAGCTCGGCAAGCCTCTAATAATTGTGGACAGCCTATTTAAAAAGGACTGGGGCACGCCGCTTCTAATATATTCCTGTCCAATGCGGCCACGTGCGAACACCTCGCACTCAGCCCCGGAGGCTTCCGGCCGCCGTTCCAGGACCCGGCCGTTCGTGACGTTGAGAGCAGTCTCTGCTAGACATGGACGTGGGCGAGTCGAAGCGACCGCTGTCCAGTCGAAGCGGCTCGGGACTCGTCGTGAAAGTGAAACTGCCCTGAAGCGCTCGTCTCACCCCGATGCAGTCTCAATGTCACGGACTACTTATGTCTCAGCTACCGCTGCCCATTTGACCCCGCACCACCAACCAAAGCATCTCATCAAAGACCAAAGCATTTCTGGTCCAGTGGTGTTTACGGTCCAGTGGTGTCAATACAGGATGAAACAACACAAACAAACCCTCCTAATGAGTTTGGTCCGCCTGGGAGGTCCTGGGAAGGCTTCTCAATCCGGTGTCGCCATTGTAAGGATTCAACACCGCTGAAAAAAAGCTTCCCATCCAACCTGAAACATTCGAACCACACGCCGTAGTGTTCCACAGTCAAGTGGGGGACACCCCCTTGACCTTTGGTCCGAAAGGACCTGTCTGCCGTCAGTCATTTGTCTTTTTGTTGATCTGTTCCTTAATTTACTAACTGGAAAATCACATGCCACGCCAACAAAACACACAGAAAGGCTGTCTAACACAAATATTCTATGCCATATATATAACTCTCCATGTCCATGGCGTCCTTCATGGCTGTCCATGGCCCCACCCCACAACACGATCGATGATCGATCACCCGGACCTGCTCCCCTACAGGGCGGGCGCCTCCACTCCGAGGCCCGAGTGTGCCAATGCCACGGCCATGCGAATCACCTTAGCCACTAAGCCAATATGGTGATGTCTAGCGAAGCGGTGAATGCATGGGGAGGGTGCCTTTTTGATACGGGCAACTGGCTTCATCTTTGAAGAGGTGACAGGTGGGCGAGTTCTCCTTCGACTGTTGACAGATGAAGAATGAATCCTTCCGAATCCCTCCCATGTTGTGTCCAATGAAGCCCTGTCAGAGTTACGTATAGACAACTTCTTCCATCCTCAACTCCGAGAAAAAGTCCAAGAATTGCCTTCAATCTAACTTTTATTTAGTTATAATTCTTGAATACTATTGTCAGTATTTAGATTAATATATATATATACTATACATCTTTCCAAGGCACCTCTGGATGCTTGTGGAGCATGCCAGCTCGCGCCAGTGCGGTGCGTGGAGCATCGGCAAAGGCCTATAGCCAACGGCGCCAGTGCGGGTGTTCAAGTCACAGACGTCAGAGTGGCCTGCATTTTCTATATTTTCTGATCCTTTCTAGGACAGGCGGGATTGACATGACTGAAACGGAGGGAAGGCAACACCCAACTCGACACCGACATGTGGGTCATTCGTCCACACCTGCCAGCCCGTGCCTCGCCCAAGGCCTGTCGCAAGAGTGCGTCCAACTTCTCTGGCGCCTGGGGAGCCTTGATTGACGACCACAATGGTGGAAGTGAATGGAATCAGGTTGAATCAAGGCTGGAATAGGAGGATTGTGGTCATTCACGTCTCTACTGGAATAGGAGGATTGAAGAAAGGAGGAATCCTCCTACTCCGATGCTCCTAGGAGTCCTCATCGGTTTGTAGGAGGATTCCTATTCTGCTGAGGCAGGGCAGACCATGTGGGTGACATCACCAGAGGTCGGGCTGGGGTTCCTATAAATAAAGACACACACACACACCATGTGGAGATGATTGGCCTCCCAAGTATTTAATTGACCTGTGAAGTTTCTGGATGCAATGCCCATTTTGGCCTATATATACAATCAACCACCACCGGCTGGGCTCCATCAAAACGTTGACCGCGCATCCTTCGTCCAGCAGCATCCGCATAGATGGCTTTCGCCGGGGTTTCGCCGGATGGCTGGAAGCTGGACAGGTCGGGCAGGGTGGCAGGCCCGGCCGCGGAATACCTGGCCGTGAATTCCAAACCCAAGCACGACAAATGGGACTGGAATGTAGACCATTGTAGACCTACATTGACCCCAGGCAAATATGGCACACATGGAGTGCCTGGGTATTTCAATGTAATGCAAACCCTCTGGCAGTTCCAGGCCAAAAAACTGCACCAGCTGAGCCTTTTGTTTGCCGTTTTGTGCTTTTTGTTGTTCCGCGAGCGCTGAAGACCTGCTTCTGATGGGTGAATGTGTGTGAATGGTTGACTGGGGGAAGCATGTTGGCATGTTGGTGCTGTATCATGCCAAGAAAAGAGTAGTACCAAAACCTACCACGGCAGCGCACAAAATGGCAGTGCAAAGGCAAAAACGAGGAATTTGTCACAGATTCAGTTGAACGGTTCTTGAGCCACGGAATTGGGCAGGCTTTAGCAGCCACGAAGATTTCAAAACTGGGCAACCAGGTTCAGCAAAGTCCAAGAAACCACAACGTGCAAGAAACCGCAACCAGAACGCTGTTAGGGGAAAGCACAACTCTCGTGCCAAATCCTAACACAGGAGTTGCATTAGATGAACTTAAATCAATTCCACCAGAAGAGGCAACCAAGTTTCAGAAACACTCACCTAGGAACGCGTCTCCCAACCGTCACAGAAAGCCACCACCAGTAACCAGTAGCTCGCTTTTAGAGTGGTCAGGGACGGTCAGGGGCCACTCCCAACGTGTCCTTCTTTGAGCGGCCCCAAAAGCTTGTGCACTCTCAAGTGATTTCTCAAGTGGTGAAAGTCATTGTTCAGGCTCCACCCTCCAAAACAACATGGGCCCACGTTCTTGGTCTTCCGGTCCATGGTCTATTCTTTTCAAAGTCCGGAGATTGTCGGACCAGCAAAACGTGAGAGATATCCACGTTCTCTTGTGCAAGAGGTGCTTGGCAAAAAGCTTAGGAAACATCTGTGCAAAGAGATATCAAACATGTGGGTCTGCAACCTACCAGCCACCCCTGCAACATCCTGCAACGGGTTTCCGCCCCGTGTTTCCGCCCGGTGACGCTGTGCCATGAGCCGCATGAGCCGCATGAGCCGCATGAGCCGCAGGTCTGTATGGGGCGGAACCAGCGCCAGGCGCGGGCACCGGAGCACCAGGGACATACGGTCCATGGCTCCACATGGTGGATGTTGCAAATGGATTAAAACTTGTACGAGTAGATTCTTTCAAACCAAAACAACTGCAAAACAACGACTGTCCCAATGAAATGTGTGCCTTTTCCCAATCTGTTTGTTGGTTTGAGTCGCTCTCTTGTGCTCTTTTTTGGTCCGAGTCCGCCACAATAAGTACTGATCATCCCGGGATCAGTTGACCTTTCCTACACCGTCCCTAGGGATCCAAGTACCTTCTCAGAAGGTACTTGGACCCTCCAAACCTACAGAACAGTGTCTCCTTCCTCACCGTACCTTCTCGAAGGTACGACTGGAACCCCAAAAAGGGTGTGTCAATGTCCAAGAACTGCAAAACTCCCCCCCCCCTCACAGACGGAAGGAAGGTTGGGGCGAACCGTGGGTCCAAGGTCGGAACGTACGACCGGTCTGGATGAAGGGTTCCATTCTTTTGGCAGAATCAGAAGAGATCAGAACAGAATGGTTCCCCAAAAGTGGATCACCAGTAGAGTTCCAACAAAAACGGATCAGCCACCTGTTGTACACTTTGCTGCTCGATGTGGCACCAGTTCCAGCGAGAAGCAGTGAACAAAGAAAATCAGCTCTTGACACACCATGCACTTCTTGAATGCGAAAGTCAACATCTGAATTGTGCTACAGCTGTGCGGAGTGCGATGTCCAATGAGACAAGTACAGCTGAGTGATGCTGAGTGCAGTCCAAACGAGAAACCTAAGCAGCAAGGCATGCATGATCAAGCTTGTCTATAGACTGCTCAATTCAAGAATCCCAGCACATGCTTGTCTCCAGTAGAGGAGACTGGCACGACACACTCCCAGTTCAAAAAAGCAACGCTGTTGGCCCTGTCATGGCGGGACCGGTCGGACCTGACTCTGAGCTCCCATTGTTGGGGCGGTCCTCGAAGAACGATCTCAAGATCTGAGGTTTGCAACAAAGACATGTGGCATCCCTTTTCTGGACATATATTATATATATATATATTAATTGTTCTATCCATGAAGCGAGCTCGAGTAGCAGGAGTATGCGAGGTGGTGGTGTTGCCAAAGCCTGAGAAAACATCTATATACACAAATATGTATATATATATATATGTGTGTAAGGCAAAAGGCAACTATATATATATATAGCTATGATATGTATATAGTTGAAGTATCTATTTCAGAGTGAATCCACCATACACCACTAATGATGGCTCGCATGTTCCAATCAGCACATCTGGTTTTGAAGAAGTCCCTTGAAACAATGCCACCACAGCTGAACCGCCATGCGGGTGTGGGCTTGACCTCCCAACAATCGGGTAAGAACCTGATATCATGATGGCAGTCCCACTGGATAACTGGTGTCCAACCACGACTGGGTCACCAAGCACCAGTTTCTCACCAGCACCGGTCATGGCACCCGGAAACCCAAACCGGTTGACCAACCGAACCGATTCCTCCGTAGTGACGAAAAGAACCGACACGAACCGTCACAGCCGGCAGACGTCGTCTCCTGCCCATGGCACTTTGGACCTGGCTCGTCGCAAGCTTGTCACACCACGCAAGCTTGTGACCCTTACGACAAAGGTTGGTTTTAAATGGAACATTAGACCCAAATGTATTGAATGCAAAAAAAACACAAAGTCCAACACATTTGGATCGAACTTTTGACACCACAAAGTTGTTTTTATTTGTCTTCAAAAAAAGGGTTCAAACTTGTTTACAAACGCACACTATGAGGAGCAATCAATACTATAGACAACGTGCAAAGCACAAGTTGATTCATTGTAAAGGTCCACCTTTTCTTCATCGAGATCGGTGATTGATCCAGACAACAGTTGTTCGGATAGTCGAAGGTGTTGAAGTGTTTTTGATGTTTTGTGACTTGGATTCAAACACAGCGTCTACATGTTACCAGGCTGCATGATCTTCCCTGTTTCGATCCTTTCTTCAAACCAGGTGATTGGGAAAATGAGGACAAGCTTGTGTGCCAAGGTGTCCAAGCGCTCCCTTTCCTCCGTTAACAAGCAAAACTGCATCGATTCGATGACATTAGATGACGGCACGTCTTCACATTGCATACTCAATGGCATGCTCTCTTGCAATGGCATGAGGTTATCCAACAATGGCCAGTTGTAGTGAGTCCCTCGGTACAAAAATACCCTTTCCTGTCAAGAATCTGGTCTTCCCGACAGGTGTCATGAAAAAAAGACCTTCTTCTAGGAGAAACAACATGATACTAAAGCACTTCAGGAAGCAGCTGGAAGCCACTGCTGAATCCAGTTGTTTGTGCTTGTTCGTGGTCTCCCTATTCTGGTCTGCACATGGCGCAGCAAACTTCTGAGTCTCGGGCATTTTGTCTGGAGACTTCATCTTCTGCAGTCTCTCCCGATGGCAAGCAGGTCCAACCTGAGGGAACGACATCGCAGACATCGGGCCGTGCCCCGTATTCGAAGCATCGACTCTGAACTGGAGGGTTTTGACGCTGCTTTTTGCACGGGTTGAACGCAGGGCCTGAACCAAACCCTGAACCAAACTGAGGGTATTTGATTGTATAAAGGGGTGATTCACGGGTGGGCAGTGGTGTGGAACAATGTCAAAGCCTGTGCCTACTTGTCGGTCCATACAGGCCTGCTGCTGGCAAGCTGCTCTGTCAGCAACCAGTTCGTCTTCTGCGCCCCCGATGCAGCACTTCTGTGGTTATTACTAGCAGGTAGCCATCCCAAGAACGCATCAAAACATATATAAATACAATGAATAGTTTACACAAATAGAACACACCCATTGGTAGTTCCCATAGGAAAGGTAACTAAGCAATTCTATACTATACACCCTAGAGTCAGACTGCTTGCCAGGTCTGGACCCGAATCCTTGGACTTCCGACTTTGTGGATCAAACCGCTTGTTCTCCGGACACGATCTCCGACGATCGGAATTGGACTTCGACTTGGCGAAGCGCCGAGACTTCGGATGCGACACGACGAGAAGCAAAGAATCAGGTTCCAAAGACTCCATGGGACTGGGAAATGATGCTTACAAGGCTTACATGGAATGGACCCCTTCTCTGAAAGCACCCCAGCTGATCGGTCGATATGCCAGTCCATGCCAGTCCTATGGTCGGGGGTTGGCGTTCCCTAGGGCACGAAGAGGGATGAACAAAGAGGGATGCTTCCTGACTCAGACTCCAACGTGGACAATGTTGTTTCATCTTCCCCAACTCCCAGGATCCTTAGGACCCCAACAAGGAGGGCCGCCCTTCTCCTGTGATGCAACCAATCAATGCGACTGTCTTCCAGGACTTGGTCATTTTTTTGGTTTTTTTCTGAGTGCTTATTGAAAATGAACATACAATAAGAACCGAATAGCAATGGCCTCCAATCTAGAAACGATGGCCTCCAACCTAATAGCAATGGCCTCCAACCTAGAAGCAAAGGATGGTACAATTGCTAAACCACTTCAAATACCCGCGCACGAAAACTGACTCATGCATCCATGCGTGCATATATTGGATTGTCACACCAACAAGACTAGCACAGGCCAAGGGAAAACATATAAGGGCGGATGCCATGTGAATTCCTGCAAGACTCTCCACATCATCCACCAAACATATGGGCCAAAAAAAATTGCAACACTCAATATTAAGTGCAAATCTTCCTTCGCTACCAGTCTAATCCTTTCCATATAGATCGAAAAGTAGATCCCCACTAAGAATGTATTGGAAAGCGTGCAACTATCTATAGGCCTGTCCATATACAATATATATAATATATAGTTCTCAAACCGGCTCTTTCCAACTCGCTCTGTGGACGCTCCACTTCGGCTCCTTGCCGTCGCCGTTCCGGCGCTTGCGCAGGTCGATGCGACCTCGCAAAAGGACGGGAAGAGACGCGGGGCGCCAAAGGACGGGAGGATGGTGAAGATGTGGAAGAAATCATCAAGTACAGTGTTTTGTACCAGCGCCTTCAAAGGGGTCACCTGGCTGGAAGCCCCTGCACCCATCTAGGGATCTCCATTAAACACCCCTTTGAAGCCAGGTATTGTATAATATGCTCAACCTGCACTATCTAATTACTAATATACTCTCTGATACTGCAGGATGATCTTATCTTTGTATCCCAGTTTGGTTTCTGTGGAGTATGGCGTTAACCGGGTAACCGGGTCGGGATTCCGGTTGATCGGGATCCGGTCAGACCCCCCACACCCCGGTCAGCCAGTCAGCCGATCAGCCCGGTCAGCGGCCCGGTCCGAACCGATTGATGGGCCAGCCGTGAAATTCATATTTGCTATAAACCTGGCCGGCCGATTGAGCCTATAGTAACCGGTTAATTGGGTTGACCAAATTGAAATGAATTGAACTTTACGTAATTTGAATTGAACCGGGTTGTGAATTCAATTAAAAACAAATTACAAGTAGATTTAATTAGAATTGCATTAGAATTGAAATTAAAAGGACCTGAACTAGAAATGAACTATTCAAATTGGTAAAGCAATAATCAGGATTGAATGAAGTTCTATACATTATTTAGCATTAAACTAGAATTGAATTAGGCTTAAACTTGATTAGAAGAAGACCGAACCTAACCGTGCTGACCGGGTCGAGCTGAACGGGCCCGGCTGATCGGCTAACCGGGCTGACCGGGTGAATCTTTTCCAAATTATCTGGGATCCAGCACAGCTTGGTTCCCCCACATATCTGCGTGCATCCACCACGCAGTTCCAAATGCGTCGCGCAACCGCCCGATACAAAAAAGTATTCCCTTTGCTTGTGTAGGGAAGAACATGTCTCGAAAAAGGAGATAGAGCATATCTCGAAGCTATCAAGCTGAGGCAAAATCATCCAGAAAAGATCTAGATGAGATTGTGGCCATCAACAGAGATGTAACCTCGGAACTTTGCCCAGAATTTGCTGCAAGACTGGTCACACTGTCGCCATCCTTGTTGCGCTCTTGGAGATGGGAAGCTGGCACGTGAGGCAACAGCAATCGGACGCAGTCAACATGAGGGTACATCACAGCAACTTGAAGTGGGCGATCGCCATCAACATCCTTAGCAGTTGCGTTTGCGCTTGCTTCAAGCAACTCAGAAACCACGTCTGGGAGCCCATGCTTGCAAGCAACATGCAAAATGGAACAAGGGTGGTAACAAAGTTTGTAAAAAGAAACTTCTTGCAGATATTCTTGGTTTTTGTCCTTCTGCTCACAGTGGACCTGGCTTCACTTCTGCTCCAAAAATCCAACCCGCAAAATAGATTGATACAAAAAGCTTTGCCTAAATTCCCAAGGGGTTCTACCCAAGAAAAACTTGGCAGCCAAGATGCGGAGCTGGACCGGCGCAGCTTCCGAAGAGGAAGCAGCGCCATCCGTCATGGCTAAGATGAGAACGATTGGAAAAACGAAAGGTAACCTTGTCACACTACTTGCGTACCATGTTCTTAAAACAGCTGGTTTTTGCACATGACCCAGATTGTTGTCACCTACAATATTCTAACAGTGTTGGTACTAGTGTTAGTATAGCCATGGGATGGTAATTTTCTAAAAAAATTGCACACGGACTGAAAACCACAGGGCTCGGACAAGAAGGCGTGCAGTACTGGCTCAATCCAGCTTTACCTACTTGCAACGTGCTTGTGGCAAAAAAGAGTGCGTTGGCTCAAGAGCTGCTTCAACACACCACTGTGTAACCAGGTGTGACGTAGTTTCGCCCTTCGCGCTCGGTGCGACACCCTATAAGCTGTAAGATATTGCTTTGTTCTTTCATAGCCTCAATTCTGTTTATGGTGCCTGGGTGGCGCCTAAAAAAAGCGTTCTTAAAAGTGTTTTGTTTGGGTCGGAACACTTGTCGTTTGTAGGGCACGACGCCGTCCTCATGCGACGGTGTTTGTCAACATAATGTCTTCGTTCGTACACTGTCCTTCGTTTGGGGTCGCCATCGAAACCATGACCGGTTGCAAACAATTGTCGTCTGCGCCCTTTCCACTGTTGTTCGATTGCCACTGTGCCGCCTGTACCGGCGCTGCCGCCTGCTGCCACTTATTTCGCCCAATGTGGCGTCGTTATTCAACCGCATGTTTGAAAGCGAAAACGAAGCCATAATTTCACCTTCCTTGATTTTGATCACAGTTGTAAAATTACAACTTTTGAAGGAGTCAAAATCTAGTGTTACATTTTCGACCACCAGCTCACATTTTTCCCGTTCAAAAAACTATTACACCTGTAGACCAGGCCCTACCACGTTCATGCAATTCTAGCGAAGTTACATTTTCTGGTTCCTTGAGCCCATACACTGACAACGTAGCATTATTTTTTGAGCGCCCTTTCCCTTTAGAAGTTCCCTGCGTGCCCTTTCATGTTGCATCAATTTCCTGTTTCCTTTCACGTTCCTTTCATCTTGCAGGTATTCCGTTCTTTTCCTTTCGTGTGTTCACTTCCTTCCATTTTGCATTTATGTCCTGTCATGTTTCTTTCATGTTGCATTCATGTTCTTGAAGTTTCCTTTCATTCCGCGCTCATTTCCAACCATTTTCCTTTAAATCTGCTTCTGCTTTGCTAAACAAACTCAACAATTTATATTTGTTACTTTCACACATGGCGCCCGCTACGGGCGCCGCGTGTGAAAGTAAACAGCTTTGTATCGGCAAAGCGCGGGATCGGTTGGAACCTCGGCCAACTTTAACCCTAAGGCCATCTCCCGCTTCCTGGCCGAACCGCTTCACCATTTTACCATAGGGGAAAAGCATGGACACTGATCTAGCTTTCACAGGTTGCCTTTCAATTCTTTGGGCACATACCACTGTTTTAGAGGCATCCAAAAATGTAGCTTACATTGTTGTGGGTTCCACTTTCTTCGCGCCTTTCTGCATGTTTTCTTTAGACATTTCTCCCTTTTCTGGTCCTTCTTTCTTTTTTGCTGCCTAGATGTCTTCCTTCCTTCTCAGTTATAACTTCGCACTAGGCGCCTTGCGTGGCCACTTCTTTCACTGCGTTTCCCACACGCAGCTTTTGTTCTCTAGTATTCACATGCTTCCTTTCGAGTTCTAGATGCATCGCATGGCTTTAGAGGCATCCAACAATGTAGCTTACATGTTTAAACCTTTCTTCCTCATCGATTCATTGTTTCTTTCTTTCTTCTTAGATGCCAAATACAGTAACCCTAGGGCCATCACCATGTACCTGACCGAGCCCGTGAGAAACTCAGAGACTCAACCCGACCCAGTCAGCACGGTTAGCCAATCAGCCGGGCCCGGTCAACCCGGTCCGGTCACCCCGGTTGGCCGGTCAGCCGGGCCCGGTCAGGCCGGTTAGCCAGTCACAGCCCGGTCCGGTCACCCCGCTTTGCACTTTGCCGGACAGCCGGATCGAAGTCAATTAGAACTGATTGAATTAGAATTTGATTACAATGAATTTGATTTTCATGATAATTTTCTTTGGAATTTAGTTTAATGTTCTTCAGAATTCAAATTAATTAGACTTCAATTTAGCAGTCAATTAGACAATTGCCTTTAAAATACAATTCAATAAAATCAAACTACAAATTCATAAAATTTAGATTACAATTTGCTATTCCGGGTTCACTTAGCAAATTCCAGTCAACCGGAACCCGGTCAACCGGCCCGGTCAACACGGTTAGCCGGTCCAGCTGGTCACGGTTAGAACCTCGCCACCGCGCTTCGATATACTCTCTGATACTGGAGGATGATCTTATCTTTGTATCCCAGTGTTCTGTGTTCTTTGCACTTGTGTTCGTGTGGTGACTTTTCCATACGCGTCTCCGCGGTGCGCCGAGGGCCCGGGCTCAAAGAGGCATCGGCGCACTCACAGCTGCCCTGAGGGTTTGAACACCAACACAATCAACAGATCAGCCCGTTTGGAAGACATAGATCTCGAGATCAGCCGATGATCCAAGTCGACAGAGGCCAAGTATATAAGCAAGTTGTTCAGCCATTTTCAGCTGTACAAACTCAGAACATCCCAAGTCGTCTACGTTCTACTGCGGGACATCCTGATTTTGAGCATGTGCCAAGAAGGACACCAATCTCAAGACTTCCCAGTGCCCAGACAGGCCAAACAGGGCTGAAATCAATCTGACCCCTTGCTGTCTAGGGTCGGGCTTTCTAAAAACTAATCAACTCTACATTCTTGCATATGATTGCTTACCATTGCTTACCCTCCTTGACCCCGGCCAGGTCACCTCCAAGCATTTCGGTGGCTCGGTCGGACAGAAGATGGCGGCGCGGCCATCCCATAAGGCGCCCCGTAAGGGGCTGTAGACCTGCGTGTTCAGCTGAAGCAGTTCACGAACTGGGTACGGAACGTCTGGTACATCACTGGTACGTCATGTTTGGTGGCCATGGAACCTGGCTGAAGGAGCACGACCCGCTGGGCTTTCTAGTCTCTGGCTAGATGAGACCCTTTTTCTAAGAATCCATCATGGCAGTGGAAAAAAACGCACGGCCTGTTGCTAGAGGATATCAATCTTCGAAAATTCCGGTGGATGGTACAATTCTTGAATCTCAAAATCTCAAACAACACCGATGGATTTTCGCAACCCCACGGATCCGCTCGCATCGAATCCATCGAACACCACTCGGACTCCTCATCAGGACTCTCAGTCGGGTCTCCTCTGAGGCTCAACTTCCCTTTGACGATCATCACAGTGGCAGGGGGTGCCGAGCATTATGAGCTACAGCAGAGCACTCTACAGGTGAGCTGTGAAAGGGAACAAAAAAGAAAACACCGAAAACTGTAGAGCATTGTAGAGCCCTGGCTCAAGGGGAAAAGGGATGGGAAAGGCTCTATGTACAGTGGTTTCAGAGTAGATGGCACCAGTTGCCCCAAGTTTGGGGGTTTCTATGGACCCCCATCTACAGGACATCTTGGGGTGCCAGTGCCATCTACTCTGAAAGCACTCGATAAGACCTTGGGTGCCGGACCACCGCGCACAAAGGGGCCGATGAGGCCTCAGACGAGTCATACGAGTTGGACGTGGATTTCCAGCAGCTCGGAGCAGTTCTCCCCTGCCCACCATGTGTCTGTCAAGATCGATTTCAACACCCCAAATCATCCTGGGGATTCCTGAGGTGAACACTTGGAGCTCGAAACACTCAAGGATGATGGCTATCGGATGGCTGACCTGAGGTTTTGCACCTTCTGATTCTATTCGGTGGTTTCCAGGTCTCTTTGTGGCTTGGCCGGACAATGACCAGGAAAGGCGAAACAAAACTGATGACCTGAAGCGGCAGCTCCTGCCCGTGCTTCGGGAACTTCCTCGAGAACGGCTCCGGGGAATTCGGACGACCGAAACGGCGCCCGAGCCAGGCTCCCTCCGACCAGAAAGCGCGTCCGTACGTGGTCGGGGGTCCATGTCAAGGTGGCCACTGCGGTCGCCCGCGCGACGTGCCGAAATGGCCCGTGCTTTTTCCAACCCGAAGCAACCGGCCAGTGGACTGGTCTGACCAATGGAACCCTGGCTCTTTCCGTTCCAGAAACACAGGGGGAGCATCCAGTTAGGCCCTTTCTGGGGAGGGATGATGACATGTTTTGACTCACCAACTCACTCTGGTTCGGCCGCCTTGATGGGAACGACGCCCATCTGGATGTTGCTGGGCCAAACGCCCAAGATCCTCAAGGCCTCAGCAAACAGCAGGGCGATGTGGGGTGATCTTAGCATGGAGAGAGAGAGAGAGAGCGCGAGCAGGGAAAGAGAGACACCGATCGGTAGAACACACGGAAGGACAGCAAGGAGTCAAACCGAAGACAAAACAACAAGCACATAATACCAGCTACGGTATAGCTTATAGCAATACAACAAAAACACACAAAGCTCGTACAATATGCTGTATACATATAAGTAGTGGTCCCCTAACTAGATAGAAACGCTATCTACTTCTATTTGCGGATAGAAAACGATTCCTTCAGCCCCCCCGACTCGGACGTAAAGGATAGGCGCTGACGGAATTCGGCACTCAGCTAAACCCCAATTCCTCGAAGCCATCTCGACAGACCGACGGACCTTGTCACCCCGGACGTGCCAAAAAGGGATCACGGGCCACACCTGATCCGGCGCCAAGCGGTGGCACAAGTCCAGCTTTCGTAGCGCCTCGGAGGGCGACCGGTGGGGTCTTTTGGTTCCCGCGTGAAGAGCTGGGCTTGTGCGGGGTTTTATGGCCTAAAGTGTTGGAGGCTGACCGTGCAAAAGGAATCGAAGCTTCCGTCTGTCTTGAAGTCTGACTCCTCTGATTTCTGTACCAAGGTTGACCTTGGTGTTTGTGTTCACAAAGCTCATTAATATGGAATTCCCAACAAAGATTAAACGGTTAAACGTCAATCGGCGCTTGAGTCATCCTTCAATATGATGGGCTTCAATGGAGCTCCAACTTGTGATCAATCCAAGAATCAATGGCTTTTCAGCACAATGGTCTTTCAACTCTTAGAGTCAAAAGGCTGCAGTTTGGACGGTGACCATACGTGGCCATGGTTGCCCTCACAAATTCTGGTAGCCATACTGATGGGAATCCAACCCATTCAAACCCTCCCTGCAACCGCGCCATATCCCGCTGCTCTTCCACTGGCAAGCGCGGAAGTATCCTGCGACATCCAGACTCTCTGGTCACGAATATGGGGCTCTACAAGCATTTCCTGGATCGTTACGTCCATAGCTTCTTGCTACTAGTAGTAAGGCCAGAAGCTACTACATCGTAGTGTCCTTGCTAGTAGCAATGCACCCTGCTAGTAGTAGCACAATTTTCGCTCTGCAAGCCTGGGCCCCAAGGGCCCCTTGGAGTATGACTTGTATTGACTGGCAAGCCAAGCGAGAATCCTCCGGAACATACTGTACTTCAAACAAACAGTTCGGTTGTTTTAGGACCAATCCACTCAATATGCCGTGCAACATGCTTCAACATGGCTTGACCTTTTCAATATTAATACTTTAAATACTAACTAGTAGTAGTCCACATATGTTCCACTCCAACATGAACGTGGGCCAAAATTAAATCATGAACAAACAAGCTTGCCACATAGCAAAGCCCCCCATGACAGGTCCCACGACCAGTTGCACGTCATCCCAAACTCTGCTTGAGAGCCAGCGACGAAGCTCCCCGCGCGCCCCAAAAAGCGCACCCGAGCTCGACTCGTGTCCACGGTCCTATCAGGAACCACACTACCGTCGTGCCGGCTGGACAACACTGAGCAGGGAGTCCATTTGCCGTCGTCCTGTGCAGGTAGCTAGAAGCTACGCACGGTGGAGGCCATCGCTATTAGGTTGGAGGCCATTAGTACTAACAAGAAGCTACTATATAGTCTTGTGTGCTTGAAACAGCGTCTGACCCTCAGAGCTTTCTTCAATCCTTCGACCGTCCTGGCGTCGCTCGAAGACCGGGAGTCTGTTCAAAAGAATTGAACACCTAACATCCATGGCGACCTCACTGGATGTCAGGCTACCAAAGGAATGTCAGTTCCAAAACGAAACCCCTTCAAACGCCAATTCAACAAAACTTTCACAGTTCAATTCCTTTTTGTTTCCTTTCAAGCAATTCCTGAACCAGACTCAGAGTCTTGGAGTATTGGAAGGGGTGATGCTGAGAAAACCCAGCCAACACCAAGGGATCTTTAGATCTGATCCAAAGTATCTCCTGTACCATTTGACTGAGCAGTTTCCTGCTTCTTGGTGCCCTCAGCGCCGGTCCGCTTCGGTCGCCTCCGGGCTGCAGGTGGCTTCAGCCGGTCCAGCCTCTACTCTGGGCAAAAGGCTCCTGGAGGACGGTCTGAGGTGGCGGGGAGGATGAGGATGGGTCTGGCGCGCTGCGAGTGACACATCAACATCGGTGAGTGGATTCACCGGACCCCATGTATGATCATGTATGTATAACTAAACTAAATATTATTATAGTCCACTATCAGCATTTAGATGCTTTACAGCATAATTCATACCAGCGACCATATATGTAAAATAGTTTCCCTGCAGGGTCCTGAGTTGGGTGAAGCCTTCCCCAGTACACATGAGAAGGGTCATGAAGAATCACACCGGACCCATGGTGCAAAGAAGCGGGGACCGTCACTCAAAGATGTGGGGATGGGTCAAAATATGGAGCCCCTAACACCATGTAGCTTGAACTTCCAGGTAGGTCAGGGGTAGGTTCAACCAAAATATCTTTGTTTCAACCCACAGTCACAGCCTCAAGTGGGAACCTTTCAACAGCCATCACGGAGTCGCTGCCTTTGGAGAGACGTTGTCCTTTATGGAGGCCAGCAGATTTCATGGTGTTGCCACCCCAACAAGGTGAGGAATCAAAACCATCAATTTGAGACACCAAAATGGATATATGATTCATATATGATATATGTATTATAGAATAGGCAGTGTCTGGCAGGGGGTCAGGCTGCGAGTCTCCCTATTTCAACACAAAGACACGCAGCCTGGTTTGACTCTATGTCCCTTTGGGGAGCACAGCCTTAGGACCCCCGCATCACAGCCTTAGGGGCATTAGATCCGATTCTTCCCATTCTTCGACAGCGATGCTTGGAGAGTTGGACTGTCCTGACCTTTTCACCGACCAAAATGGCGCCCCCAAGTCTCATTGGGTGGATCAAACACATTCTTGTAAGCTTGGGCGTCTTCCGTTTTCTGGTTTGGGATCAATTCCGGCTTTCGCTGCTTAATTCGCTCTTCTTTCGTCTTACTTCGTTCTTTCTGAGTTTCGCGTGCGGCACTCAGGGCATCAGGTTGCAAAAAGAAACCTTCTTGTTTGACTAACTGACATCCCTTTTCGATCCTTTTCCTGGCTCCGCCGGCCCGTCCTCGAGATGGTTTCATTTAAACCATCCACCAAGCTCTCTGGCCTTGAACCAAGTGCACTGTGGCGAGATCGGATGAGATCGGTCGATGCGACAGTCTCACAGCCTTTAGCCTACCGCTTCACAGCCTAGTATGCGTCTGTCTTCATCGAACATGCGCCTCCAACCTGCTAGCGATGGTCGAGTAGAGGAACCCCCAAGAGATGCTTGCCCTCTTCCTGACTCCCGAGCGGTAAAGGGAGTATCAAGGCGATCATTCCTTGCTGCGTTCGTAGCGATGCCCGAAATGCTCCGTTCGCAGCTTGAAAAGACAACGCCCACGATAGGGTTGATGCAGGGCGCCTGGCGCCCCTATCGAAAAACCTATGTATTGGACTCTTCACGGTGAGCGTGACTCTTCCAGTCAGTGCTGCTTCTCCGCTTCAGTACTGAGCTCCCTCACCAGGACAGCGACGCTAAGCAGCTACACAGCTTGGGCAGGTGTGGCCGTGGATCATGTCCAAAGAAGGCCACGGAGCATGGGATGGAACCTCAGGTGTCCCTCGACCACCATGGAACGACGAGTTTTTCGAAGAAGGTACTGTACTTCTTTTTGCTTTACAAAGCCCCTATTGGGGCAAAGGACATTGGACACATTTGAATGTCCAGGTGTAGGTCATCATAAATAAAGCATGCCGGGTAGAGTTGCAATATATTCAATATTCTATTCAAGTACAACTATACAACTCATTCATGATGTCATCCTGGTTACTGTAATCACTGCCCCCCATCTAATCTCGAGTGGCAGACGTGGTCTTGATCAACACATATTCTTATTAAGTTATACTTATTTGCTACGAGCCCGAGCCCGGCTCATGCAACAAAACCCAACAAGCTAATGTTGCCTCTGATACCCGAACTTGGCTCCTTCCACATGAATTGCATCGGAGCTACACTGCAAATAGGTCCAATTATTCGATGGTTAGTTAGCCATCGGCCGCATGCATTACATCACATTATAGTCGCAAACAACTTGGCATCTTGTCTGACTGTTAGACCTACATGACACTTGATGAAACTGAAAGACACCGGGGAAGAGGAGAATCGTCTACCCATCCACTTTAGCAAAGGGCCATCCATGTTTGCTTTTGGCAAAGCCCTACATCTCTTTGGTCCAGTTGTGTCTGGGAGTACAGTAGAGGGAACACCCGATAGTTCAAAAGGCTTTCTATCAGTGGAAAACGCACGAAAGACGTGACACCTCATCATAAAAACTTTGAGACTGAACTAATTCACATGCCCCAAACTCGGCTGCAAATGCACAGGCGTCCAGTTCGAGGCGCCGTTCACATGTCGAAGCATGCTCCAGTCCGCCAGCCTTGGCGAGTTGAGTTGAAGGACCACGTTTACACTCTGACTGACTCACCTTCCTTGAAAGCGGAGAGTATGTGAAAATGATCCCTTGGAAGGCAGGGGGGGTGCCATCCACGTTAGTGAGTCACAGTGTAACACATGAAAAAACTCTACCGACCGGAGTCTCAGTTCGTACCTCGGACAATCAGTATACTGTATACACCCTGGAAGGCGATTCCATGGACCTTGATAACCACTGGTTGGTAGAGGAAAACACTCTTCCAGGAGGACAGGACGTCAGGGTCTATGTGAGTTTTCGGGAGTGTTTTCCCCCGCCCGGCACCGACCGTTTGGTCTTCGGACGTTGGACGTCCGACGAGTCGCAGGGCCGTTGTCAGACGGAGCGTCGTTGCGAACCAAAAGCCGACCGGTTTTGGTAGAACATGGTACAACAGGAGCAGTTTCTTGGAACAGGTTCCATGTTTTTTGTTGGGTAAACAAACGGCTTACCTGGTTGCAACAAGGAACAGGTTCCATGATGTTCTCATTTTTGAAGGGTCACTTTGAGAGGGTTTTTGGCATGGCAACTTTCTGATGCAAAACCTTTGCGGACCTTGCACGAACCGCTGGACCAAGGCTGTTGAAGTGACACCCCTACTTGGTGGATCAGATCAGTTTCCAGGAACATTTGACTCAACCAAGGGCATGGTCGAAGTATTTGGAAGCAAGCCTCCGTGAGATAGTGTACATAATCAAGCTTTGAGTTTGTGCATTCCAAAGGCACCATTTTAAGGCAGTTTGTGGAAGGAGAAAGTGGAACAAACAACGGGCTGTGTCCGCCCTTGACTCTACCAATGTCGGCTTGATTTGAATGCCTGCTTTGCGGAAAATATCAAAACTGTTCTTGGGCGAACCCCATGTCTAACTGTTGCACACATGCAGGTGCTATGATAGTGCTGTATTATGATGTATAATTATGGTAGAACCTGTTTATTCTTTCAAGGAACATGAAATAGAAGTCGATTGCTATACGTTCCTGCTGCCTCGCACTACCTTTACCTCACAAAACAACATAATATAAGTTATAAATTGATATAAATTGCCGAGAACGGCGCTCGTGCTGGCCAATCTGTCCCACATGCAGAGCAACAAGAGCTGTCCCATTCTGTCCCCCAGTTCTGCAAAGGCAATACAAAAACATGAAAAAAAAGGCACTGGTACAAACTGACATACTGATTTCACACTAATTAGCTAGGCCAATTCTAAGATATTCTAAGGATACTCCAAGGATTTCGGTAGGTCAGTTTCAGAAAGTGCTTATTTCGCCTTTCTCGCCATCTGTGCCCGGTCCCCGGACCAGCTATGCAATGCCACTGTGCCCACGCAGTTGCAACTCCCACCCTGCGTGGCGAAGGCGGAGCGCTGCGTATCGTCGACTCCCGGTCGTTCGGTCGTCACCGAGGTGAAGGCGAAAGGCCTGGGTTTGGCGTCCTTTCCTTGGAAAGAGGACTGGCATTCGATGGACACCCTACGGCCCTACGGTTCATCTTCTGTTTTTCGTTCGGAAAACAAAGGGTTTGGAATCTCCGCACATGGTTTGGACAAGATGTTGCTCTGGTTGAACATATTTGCAGTAAGTCTGTTTCTTCATACTATTTCCACCTTTGTTTTTTGCTCGCCAATGGAGGTTATATAGTAAGTACGGTATATCCGGATATATCCGGTATGACCTTGTGAACTAATCGCTGGACTATGCAACGAATGGTTTGAGTCAGGGAGACATATTTCAGCAAGCGTTCCAAATGAAGGTGTTCATGCATCTTGGGACATGTATCAATAGATGATAATAGATGGATTTGAAACGTGTAGGTGCTGATTCAGAGTATCTGGATATCTACCCAACTTTAGTTGGACAAATCTTGTGAGCTTTAGTCTTGCTCACTTTCAAATTCATTGAATCCTATAATTTGGGACCTTGGCCTGCTGGATATTGCCACATCGAGGATTTTGCGCCCACAAACGTGTGCCGTCAACGTGACCGGACCAGGCTTTCATCATGGGCGGCTTGGTGCGGAACCGGTCCTTTCTTGGTGGTTCCAAGTAGCTGCCGTCCTGGAACTGGTCCTCAAATACCTTTAGCACGGGCCGTTTTGAGCACTCAAGTAGGTCCCAGCTCCATCACTCGTTCGTAGGTTCCAGCTTCTCTTTTCGCTTGTCTGCACTGGATCAGAAAGCTACTATTATGCAACGCTGGACAAAACGGCTTGTGGTATGAAACCAACTAATGCCGCTCTTGTGAAGATTAAGTCTGGGCAACACTGTGGGTCAAACATTATCAAAACCAAAAGCCATAACCGCGACTCTGCGGAATGGAGTGTGTGTGTGTGTGTGTGTGTTCAGTTCGCCCAGGCACCAACCGTGGTCACCAACCCACAGTAAATTAATCAAATCAGAGCGTCCAGATTGAGAAATTTCTTCAAATGACAATCGTCCATCGTGCCTAGATCTGCCGACGTTTCTCGGGACGACAAAAGGTCTCCTGATTGAGAACCCCCAGCAGTTGCATCGTTGATGACGGTGTCTCACCAGTCATCCTTTAAGAACCACATCAAATTTATGACTCGTTCATAAACATATCAAAAAGGGAAGCCGCACGCGTCTACTCGTGCGAGAAGCAAACCAATCGACACGACTGCAGCCGAGACCAATCGGCTGAAGCCTGCGAATCGGTTTGGAATCAGTCTGTGGATGTCTCCCAAAGAAACTTATGAAATAGAAACAATCCCGTGGCGGTGGCCAAATAGAAACAACATCCAGTACACTTGAGAAAGGAATTCACTGCAAGAGTACTTTTGGTTGTTTGTGTGGCGACCCCAACCCAGATTCCAAATCCGAAATCCACATAGCGCAGGCTCAAAACTGGATTGCAACAACAGTTTCATAGAATCCAGCTTTTGTCTATCAATCGTTCGTCTTTTGGGATTTTTTGGGCATAAACACACCAAACTGGTGCCATGCCTATTTTGTGCCTTGCCTTGCGATGCATATTGTTGCTTCATCTTCATGCCATATCTGGCTCAGAAGTTTTCCTCCGGCAGGATCGTTGAACCCGTCATGCTTGGCTCATCGTTTTCCTCTGCATGCAATCGCAGCAAAGCCTTGGCAGACATGCTTCTCCTCAGTTGGGTCACTCGTCGAATGGCTCACATAGAAGAAACTTGAAGAAACACCATCATGAGCATCATAAATGCTCAGCATCAGCTAGTTACAGCCATCATGAGCATCATAAATGCTCAGCATAGTTACTGCTATCGTTCATTTGAATCTCTGCGATGCCGTGATGCCAAACAGGTCAAAATGGGAGACCCTGGTCGACCACCCAGGGTCAAAACACAACAGAATAGACGAATCAGAGGGATTAGGGCTCCAGGGTTTGACCCACAACCATCTAGACATGTGCATAGGACTTGCTTGTGATCCATCCCAAGGATTGTCTTTCTTCAACCCATGGTTTTGTGTTTATATGAACATTCATCATCGACCTGGTTGCGGGTGTAACTCCAAAAATGTTTGGATTTTTCGGTGCAAAAATGGTACCAAAGGCCCCCTCATGTCTCACCCAGGCCGCACGTTTTCGCGGTTTGCCGGCAAAGGCTCTTGGGCGCCACCAGCAAATTGATGATGCTTTGCCGGCCCCTTGTGTATTCCACCTGTTGTGCTGCTATCACCACCTGCAGTAGCGTGCGCTTTCGGGAAGTCCGCTGATCGCGGTCTGCACCGAACTTGAGAAGCAACACAAACAGTCCGAGGTTCCCCTGCTTCGCAGCCCAATGCAAAGGGCGCAGCTTTTCGCGCAGTTGCAGGAATTTGGGCAGTTGCACGGGAAGACAGTTTGCTGGTTGCTGCAGGGCATTCACATCTGCAAAATGGTAAATCGCCAGAAACTCTTGCACTTCAGCGAGTCCCACTTCATGCTTTCGACGCCGTCGTAGACACCCGCGCGTGGGGCGGGGAGTCTCGGCGTCGTTCGTCGCCTCCGCTCCATCGTCCGGTCCGAGGTTGGCGACTTCGCCCGGAAGCAGCACAGGACGGCCCGGTGCTGGGATGGCGCTGAGCCAGCCCTCCGCCATGGGCTTCGCACGGCTTCTTGGTGCTCTACACCAAGGCCAGGGGCCAAAGGTCTGAGATGATCGACGGTCAGCGTAAGCTGCAGCGTTTCGACGTGGTTTGTGTTGAAGGGGACCTCTATTATAGTCCCTAGGGCTCCAACCACCTCCTGAGAAGATGGTTGGGGTGGGTTTGGGGAATCTAACCACCTTCTGAGGATGTGGTTGGAGCCCTAGCGAGTAAACGTAGGTGCGGATATAAGCTGCACATCGCCCCCGAAATGATCTTTGCTATATGTCTACACGTCCGACAGAAAGCTGATTTGGCAGGTCAAGCCCGGGTGACCGACCGGTACTTTGAAGGATCTCAACCGCCACCACGGTCGCGGACTCGGTCACTCCGGACTCCCACGCAGAAACCAAACGCCTTGGACTGGTCGACCGGGTACTCCGTGGGGGTTTCGAGTGGGGGAGGTTTGGACCCGGCGGCCCACTGCCGACCTCGCCTCCCGTGCACAAAGGCGCCACCCGCCCAACGGACCAGTGGCAAACACGGACCGTGCGCTGTCCGGCTGGGACTCAACTGCGCGGGAGGGCGGCTGGGACAGTCGTTGGGGCCCGAAGGGTGTCGGTGGTGAGCTACACCAAGAGAGGTTAAGCGACCGTAAATAGGACCCGTCACCTGGGGTACCTATATGGGGTAGTCGAACTAGGAATCTGACCCACCTCTGCTGGCATTCATCTAGCCCTTGGAGGTTTGCAAGAAAAATAGGCAGTGAGTGACCTGGTGTTTGAGATGGCATGCGATCACCAATTCCCCCTGATTTCGCGTCAAATTTGGGACTCCAAAGAGATCAAGTGGAATGCTCCTCTTTATATATGAAGGTCACATGTTTATTAGTGAAACTAATTCCTCATAGCTTGGCGTGATGACAGCCCTTTTAAGGATGGACGATCGCTTGACTGAACCTCTGTTCATTGTGGGAAACAATGGGAAACCAATCATGTTTTGCTGGTGGACCACATGGCAGGCTAATGTGACTTAAGTTAACATAAGTTAACATCAGTTAACCGAGGATTTCCGTTCTGCGATGCTTTTGGATCAGCCCCTGTCAGTGTTGCGCTTTTGAACGCTAAACCACAAGGTCCCGACGCCCGATGACAGCGCCGACCACACTCGGTGACGTGGAGGTAACCCGATGACAGCCCGGTCTGACACGCTTAGGCTTAGACACGTACGTTTGCCTAAGCCCGGTTCCTTGCCACTGACAGTGGTCTTCTCTTTGCTTCAGGGAGGTTTGAGAAGTAGCTTTGTCAATCCTCAGCTCAGAATACAAAGACCCGCTTCTGTTTTCCTTTCCGAAAACCTGGAAGACGCATGAACATACAAGCAACCAAAACGATTACTCTAAGACTTATTGAAACTAAAGACCTGGGATAAACAAACACTCATGTTGTAGGAACATGACAAAGTGCTCAAACACTTGGATATTGTTTGAGCTGCATTTTCATCTACAATATACATATAAACTACTATATTACTGCATGTATATAGTATCACCAACTCTCTCTGTGGGGCATCTGCGGACCAACTAAGTGTTTCAGTGTTTTGGCTCCACATGTCTCGCGGAGTCTCGCTCGCGTTCAACGCGCTCACTCCGTGCTCGGCGCTGACTTCGTTTGCGCCCTCGCGCCTGCATCAAAGGCTTCGTGGTTCGGCAAGAGTGTGGCCGTGGCCGTTAAGGTCACCGCGAAAACGCTTCGCCCGACTCGTCGCCGAAGCCGATTAGAGCCTCGGAAGAACAAGAGCAAAGCAGAGTTTCGAAGGGAGGGAAACCGGGCGTGTTTCGTCTTGGGCATGTGTTATAGGGCACGTCGACTTTGTTTGGACCCATGGTTTTTGTGGAAAACCGCACGAATTGTCACCAATGTTCGAGTCCTGCCCAGGCGCCGGCCTCAAGAGGGTTCGGAACCTCTGACGAGAGACATCTCGCTGGCGCCATGGTGCGCCGGCGAGGCCAGGCACCGAAGTCTTTGGATGAGCATCGCTACTAGGAACAAGCGCATTACTATACTAGTTAGACTTGTAACAAGGTGCATCGCTAGAAGCTACTAGTATACATAGCTATAAGCTAAGTGCATCGCTACTAAGTCACGATTTCTCTATTTGGATTCGAAGGCCGGTGAATCAGACGAATTCACCCACGGTCCCACATCCGAAAAGGCGCCCTTCCCTGGCGCCCAGCTGGCATCGAGTCTGACCGAAACCATGGTGTTGCTTGCGTCGCGGCTGGCGGGGGGTTTTGGACCCTCAGGTCCTCCATCAGGTCCAGGTCCAGGTGGAACAATGACCCTCCTGGGCCAACCTGCGACCATCCCGACGCCCCGCCGATCCGCCAGGTCACGGCTCCGGCCCCAAGACGTTTCGGGGCCCGCCATGGCCTGAACCGACGAGGCGCCACGGAACGGACCGGAACAGGTTCCCCTTCCGACCTGAAGACAAAGGGGGGCGAAGGCTGAGGAATTCCAGGTGGTTTGCCAAGGATGAAGACCAAACCCACTAATTTAAGTAGACGTGACATGAACATTTATTCTTGTAAACATCCCACTGGACCAGAGTCAAGCTTGGTTCGGTCAGACCAACCTGGGCGGGACACGTCGTCTGGATCAGAAACTTACATGATTGGCTCACCCAAAAGTCTCAGCTGTGGGTATTTTCATGCTCTGCATATGGGTGTTGATCAAAATAAAGGTATCCGAGGCAGCTACAATCGCCGATCAACCGCAAATCAATCGCAACCCCAACGGTGTCAATCGCGGGAGAGTGCTCTCGTATGCAACAAGACTTTACGCAAAGAATCGTCGAAACATTGCTACATATCACAGTATTGTATACATACAGTATTTAGAGACATGGCGTGAGCCAGGGCCTACACAGGCGGGTTTAACAATCGCGGCACAATCGCGGATCAATCGCGGATTTCGTCGACATTTTTTTGAGAATTGAATTGATCTGGGCTGGTAGACTTTGAACTTTGTTGTTCTGATTATTCTTTGCTATATTGGCTATCACTATTGAACACAGTGTCTAGGCAAACCCGAATACAGTGTAAGGCTGAACTGTAACATGATTATCATCCCATATAATACTGATTTCTCCTCTTACGATGGTCGATTCTGATACAACAAATGAAATATTTGTCTCAATCGCGAACCAATCGCCAATCAACCGCGATGCAGGTTTTTACAATCGCAAATGCTGAGATACACATGCCCTTTCATAATTCTTAGATTTGCATTTACGATCGGCTCCCATATGTTTAAAAACTAGTACCTAGTGATCCCAAATTAAATATGTATCTATAGAGCAATGAATCCGTCTTATCTATAGTTGGTTCTTGGCAAGTGTCAGTGACCACATCTGGCCAGCTTTGTTGATCAAGCGAATTTGATACAGGTACTGTGGAGTGCCAGAGCCTCCAGCCATTGGGTGTAGGTCTCTTGTTTCTCAGAGCTTTCAACCCGATTTGTGATCTACCCCACCTGCTACTAAAGTTGCAGGGTTATTGCATGTGTTAGCCAGACTCTCAAGGTTTCAATTCTGTTCTAATCCCTATAGAGATATTGACATACCTGTGAGAGAATCTTTGGGGATTTGGGTTCGTGTTCAGGGAACTTCCGAGGGCTGTTGGATCCGCTTCCATGGTTTTGAGGGGCGATTCCGGTGATTCCAGCGCCGGACTCGCTGTCCTTCTTGGCTCCTCCGGTCGTGGCCGCGGTCAGTTTTGAGCCCAGGTCCAGGTATCGGCGCAGCTGTAAGGCCAAAGGTCTAGGTATCGGCGCAGAGTAAGTGATCGATGAGAAACATCGACCACTAAGCAGTTCCATACCGGTATTGATTGGAGGATAGGGGTGGTGATCGATTCACTTGGGGACTGGCTGTCCCTTTGGAACTCCATTCGGAATTGTAACTCGTCATTCCAAACATCAACAAGGCATCAACAAACTAGAAAGTGGAAGATCATGCAAGAACTCCCCAAGTTGCCTTGCCTCGGAGCCTCCGTTTTTTCTATACTGGTTTTCGACCAACACGGACGCTTTGGGATCGATTCTAGGTCAAACAACATGTCGGGCCATAGCACCACCAGCATGGAGGTAGATGGGGAGGTAGCGCAAGACATGACGAGCAGTCTGTACTCCTCACGACGTGTCTTGTGAGGTGCTCTTGATCGTTAACCCTGTTTTTGCAGCGGTTGTGATCTTCCAAAGGGCACCCTAGGAACAAGAAACTACTAGGAGCAAAGGGCATGGGCGCTCCATCACCTTCGTTCTCCCAAGCATTATCCCACGCTTGTGCGTCAAACTCTCGTTCACATCATTCAGGCACCCGGAAGCATACAGTCCTCCCGAAAAGGATACTGTACGAGCCTTGATTGATCAATAGATGATATATGATATATATATATATAATACATTAAACAACATATCATGGACCTACTATAAGGACCTCCAATGGTGCAACTCCGCTTTTTATCCAACGTTCATTCACTCCTCCGATTCCCAGTTGTCTGAAATTTGGTGAACTTTCTTGGGGTGGGTGGGTGGTTCAACCTCTCTGTCATCCCACCCCCCCAAAGAAAAAGAAAAAACCCACTTTTTCTCCAAGACGGTTCCTTAAACTTGGACCTCTGGTCGCCCGTCCTTCCCACGTGATCGCTGGCTTCCAAGCTCGGTTCCCCACCGGTTCCAGACTCTCCCGAGAGGGCGGGTTTTCCAGTTATCCATGTTGGGAAAACTTCACCGTGCTAGGTTTTTAGCAAGGTGAAGAAAGGAAGGAAGGAAGGAAGGAAGGACGGAAGGAAGGAAGGAAGGAAGGACGGACGGAAGGAAGGAAGGACGGAAGGAAGGAAGGACGGAAGGAAGGA